GGCCCGCCAGGGTAAGCACCCTGGCGGGCGGGCAGTTTATTACCTGCTGACGTGGCAGGTTCGGCTGATTGTGGCCCCCACTCGCCGCAGTTCACCGTCCCGGGCCAATGGGGGTGGCGAGAAGTGGCACGGGCGAAGGATGTGCTGTCCGCGGCTTCCCACCGCCCCCATTGGCCCGGGACGACAAACCACGGCCAGTGGGGGCCGCGATCGGTCGAACCTGCCGCGTCAGCAGGTAAATAAACTGTCCCGGCCCACTAGGGTGCTTACCCTGGCGAGCCACGTGCCAAACGTTGCCGACCCTTGAACTAGGCTATCATAGAATTATAAAAAATCATGCCTTCCAGAAGTGTATACACATCCTAACACTGCTCTACGGCTGTGGGATAGAACTTGAGAAAAATTAAGTTCTTTTCCCTTGCCAGTGACTCCCATTGCAACCAATCTAAATCTTAACCCAAATTGCAAACCAGAGAGCTTTAAAGACTGGGAAAGCCATGACATACAAATGGCTAGCCAGCTATTCAGCAAAGAAACTTTTCTAACTTATTTAGAGATCAAAACTACTTTTAACTGTCCACTCTTCCATGGTACCAGTACTTTCAAGTCAGCCATTATGTTCCTCAACTTTCTGGAAAAGCTGCTTTATACAGAAAGCTAACTTTAGTAGAAGTGATTGGAGGGTGTGGCCATCCACAAGCCAGGAATTGGTGTGGTGACTCTCAGGGCAGGTGTGTCAACTTCACAGGAAGAACAGCAGCTCAGTCTGCTCAACATCACTGCAGGGTTGGAACTCTCTCTTGCCTGACAGTGGCAAGAGACCCCCGCCCCCAGGCCTTAGCCTGCTCCAGCCTTGCTCTTGGTCCAACCCTGTTCCTCGTCTTGCTCTTGGTCCTGCTCCTGCCTTGTTCCTTGCTCTCTCTTCAGACTTGCTCCAACTCCCCTCTGGACTCCTGATTCTGGCTGTAACACAATAAAAGAAATTTCGTTAAGATACTGTTTCAATGGTATCTTATGCCATTCAGGTTAAAATATAGATAGATTGAATGGGAATACATTTTTGAGAAATTGTGCTGAAAGAGGAGATTTTATGCATCTATGGTAGATATGTCCAGGTCATTAAAGACTACTGGGATGAAATTCAAAACCAATTCTCACAGATTATTGGATATTTATTACCAAATGATTCTTTGGTAACCTTCCTGGGGCTTCCTAGAAGAAATGGTCACACAAAAGGAAATGAAGAATTAATCCCTCATCTGCTAGTAGCTGCTAGGCTACTGAAAGCTTCTCATTGGAAAAAATGGTCTGGCTCTAGAGAAATGGTTAAAAAATATGGGAGGTGTTTGTTATGAAAAAAATTAATGCACCAGTAATATACCAAGCAAGATAGAGGACAAATAAATACTTAGCTATTTGGTTACCATTTATTCAGTAGTCAAAGTACATTCATTTGCAAAAAAAAACAAAAAAAAACCAACACACCTGTCCAGGTTTTTTTTTAATAGTAACATTTGCTAGTCATGCCTGGTTTGTTAAATATGGGTAATCAGAGATTTCACTCAGTTTAATTAAACCACTAGAAACAATATGGCCTGGGGAGTGTAAAGATGCTTACTCTGTAACTTGGTAACATCTGTTAAATAGGGAGAGCCAATGATTATATTACTGTATGATGTTTTTCTAATCAAAAGCTCACTGTAATAATTATTGTATTTCCTCTCATATTTACATGCATCGGATTTGTAAACCTCTTAAAACTTCCTAAATAAAGCCACAATTTAAAAATAAAATAAAAACAAACAAACAATGGGGGGTAAAAGATGCAACATGTTAACAACATTAAAAACAACCATCACCAACAAAAAACAACCTCATGCTGTGTCACGCTGTCTGGAGTGGCTCACAACTCTGAGTGCCAATCTCAGGTCAGACTCTCGGGAAACAGGGCAGATGCTCCCCAACTGGTGGGATATTCTATAATTAGATTTCACCAAGTCAGTAACAAATATTAGCCTTACCATGGAGTCAGGGACAGTCCCCTTAGGCTCTCCAGCCAATCTTACCACCCAGACAAACTGGACTTTGTGATGAATGCTCCTGTATTAGTAGGAAGATTGCCAGCAGATCGAGGGAAGTGATTATTCCCCTCTGTTCGGCACTGGTGAGGCCATATCTAGAGTACCGCATTGAGTTTTGGGCCTCCCGCTACAGAAAGGATGTGGACAAATTGGAGAGAGTCCAGCGGAGGGCAATGAAAATGATTAGGGGGCTGGGGCACATGACTTATGAGGAGAGGCTGAGGGACCTGAGATTATTTAGTCTGCAGAAGAGAAGAGTGAGGGGGGCATTTGATAGCAGCCTTCATCTACCTGAAGTGGGGTTCCAAAGAGGATGGAGCTCGGCTGTTCTCTGCGGTGGCAGATGACAGAACAAGGAGCAATGGTCTCAAGTTGCAGTGTGGGAGGTCTAGGTTGGATATTAGTAAACACTATTTCACTAGGAGGGTGGTGAAGCACTGGAATGGGTTACCTAGGGAGGTGCTGGAATCTCCATCCTTAGAGGTTTTTAAGGCCCAGCTTGACAAAGCCCTGACTGAGATGATTTAGTTGGTGTTGGTCCTGCTTTGAGCAGGGGATTGGACTAGATGACCTGTTGAGATCTCGTCCAACCTTAAAATATTCTGATTCTATGATTTTATGAAAGGTTATTAGGTCACTCCTGGCCCGCAAAGGGCCAATCACTTACCTCAAGTCAATGGATGCTCTTGTTCTCACGCCAAAAACAATGCTGGTAGCCATGGATGCTGACTTCTGCTGGCGCCGGTGGGTACTTGACCCCTCCCCTGGCCCCGCCCTGACTCCCCCCCAACTCCGCCCCCTCCCTGTCCCATTGGACTCCTTCCCCAAATCCTCACCCCAGCCCTGCCTCTTCCCCGCCTCCTCCCCGGAGCATGCTGCATTCCCACTCCTTCCCCCTCCCACAGCTTGTTATGCCGCAAAACAGCTGTTTTGCAGCGGCAAGCCCTGGGAGGAGAAGTGGGTACGCAGCGCACTCAGGGGAGGAGGTGGAGGCAGAGGGGAGATAAGGTGAGCTGGGGTGGGGCGGGGCAGGGAGCTTGGCTGCCGGTGAGTGCAGAGCAATTTTCCCCCATGGATGCTCCAGCCCCGGAGCACCCACGGAGTCAGCGCCTATGCTGGTAGCCAGTTCTTTAGTAAAGTAACTAAAGATGTATTAGGTAAGAAAATAAATTAAAGTTATTGAGAAGTTAAAGCAGGTAAAATATATTAACAGTTGAGTCCAAGTTTGTAAGTCCAAACTGGTAGTAGAGATGTAGTAATCTGCTAGTTTTCCATAAGTCTCTCAGGGTTACCTAGAATGGCTCTAGGGATCTCTGTCCAGTTTCTCAGTATTCCTCCCTGATAGAATCCATCAGTCTAGAGATACAGAATCATTCTCTTAAATCAGCAGTTATATAGATCCTGTCACAGAAGACAAGCTGATAGGTGCCTTTGCCCACATGGGTGCTTCTTTTGATGAAGTATGCATCTTGAGTCTTTGACCTCAGCTTCCCGCATCAATTACCACTTGCTTTGAAATTAGCATTTGTTTGTTAAAGTCCTCAAGCCCTTATTTAGCATTCACAAGATTTCTTAGATGAGTAATTTAGTTAGTGATATACATTATGCAATTGTCTGCCATGACATTACTATAGAAATAGATAAATGAGAGCAATACAGGTAACATGCATTGGTTTTCAGGAAGTTTACACATCAAGTAAACTAAACACAAACCTCTGATATAGGGTTAATTAAGTACAGGATATAGATAGATGAAAACAATACAATCAACATCTCTATTGATTTTTATTAGCATACGAGTGAATTAGTTTGAACCCAAACTAACGCTCAATACTACTTTGATATTCACAAACAAGTGAATTGACCTATTGCTTTGATCTGAGCTGGTCTGTCAGCGTCACAGCCTATTCAGCTGTACCTTAGTGTTTCGTGACCACATCTGTCATTGGTTATGATTTCAGTGAGCACTTACTAAGTGCAAGTAAGGAAAAAGATATTGGTTGTTGAAGTGAGCTGAAAGCATGTACATTAACAGCTCCTAGAGTCTTGCAGATAACCATAACAGTTAGCTCTGGCAAGAGAGATCCATGTTAAACTGAGCAAAAAGATAGTTCAGGATAGCAAATATCAGCTCAGACATACGTAAAAACAATATGTTTATTGAACACTGTTTGTGAAAAAACACTGCTCAACATCCCATCTTGGAAATCAAGGAATAGATTGCAGTAGTCATGTTTTCAAGTTTTACAAATGTCTTTGAAAATAATTTAATGTTATTATGTTGTTTATAAAATGTATTTGAAATATTGGGTAAAAAAGATCTAAGTATTAGTCGGTTAGAAAAGTGGTCCTGGTATTTTTATTACTATAAAATGTGGTTTGAATTGTTTAAAACAGGAAAATATATCTATAATTTCCCTCCTCATTTGTGGAAAACTCAGAGATGGATATTATTCAAGGTTTCTGAAAAAAATTCACCTTTGGTCAGAGACCAGGCATGAAAAATTTCGGTGCACAATGTGAACTTTTTATACAGTTATGAGCAAATGAAAGAGGATTATGTTTATTGCAATCCAGGGGAAATAAGTTAATAGCAATACTTATATATTACTATACATTTTCAAAATGCTGTACAGACATTAAATAATTGTAATTTATATACTTTGGCCATTAACAATACTTATAGAGGTACAAAAAAATTTCAAAAGAAGATTGGTTACTATACATCCTGCCTGGAAGTGACCATGTTAATTCATGTTTTCCTCTCTAAAGTATTTTTTATTTGTTTTAGGATTTTTGCTTTTTAAAGATTATTGTATGAATGAAATTGATGAAGGTGTCCCTCAGCTGAAATTTTATGAAGAGGTAAGAAACCTTTTATCTTCTATTGGTGTTCTATGTCATATGCTTAATTACTGGCTTGCCAGGACCAGGTGTATTTGTGTTTGGGGGGTGGGGCTTGGTAGGAAGAGCATATGGGTTGCACTGGTGGGGGGTATAATGGAGGAAAAGGGTGGGTATATTATGATATGCATTGTTCTCATACATTTCAGTTTCCTTAAGTAGATTAATGATTCATAAGAAATGGTGATAAGTAACATTTAGATCTTACAACAGTGCTAGCTTTTTAAACATATATAAGAGGCTTTTTAAAATAAAATGTTAGAACAAAGTAATTTAATTGGATTTTTGTACAGTTTTCAAATCATATATGCTTGTAAGGTGATTACGATGATGTCTGTGGTATCACATTGATAATGATCACACATTTAAACAGTACAAAATGGAATGCTGAAAGGAAAAATGATTTTGTTGGCTTATGTTCCAGCTGTGCTGTTATTTGGTATATCTGCACATATTGAGACTCAGTCTTTTTATTAAGCTTCTTGTGTTTCTGTAACAGTGGATTAATAGAACACTTAAAGAAGTGCAGTTGTAATAGATACCTTTGCTTGAAGACATGTTGAGTTTATTTGGTCTCTGGTTTCCTGATGCCACTGGGGTGTGCAAGCTTTTGACTGATGAAAATGATAATGTAAGAAAAAAATACATTGACTGAAACTGAACCATATTGGCATTTATCAGATCCATGCACCCAAAGAAGGTTTCAAAAATACCAATAGGCTGATGGCAGGGCAGGGGGTGGGAAAATCATGATTTATGACTGGAATAGTGTAGGTATATGAATGCCTTTTCCCCTGAAGTTACTGTATGTACTATACTGAAGCTAACTGTTTCCAACTATTTCTGGATGCTGTGACTCATGCTAAAGCCGAAACCGAAAGCAAGCTGCAGGCTGGACTGTTAGGATTGTTAGGCCTCTAGGGTTTTTTTATTCTTTACAAATTGATTCAAAAAAATTTTTTAAAAAAAGAGCAACCTTTAGTGTACTTCTTTTAAAGTTGCATTTAGGGGCTATATTCTTCCTTCAGATGTGCACATGCAATCTCCATTGACCTTACCGAATTGCATATCTTGCACGTCACTAAGTTGCATCGAGTTGCATACCTAGTTGTATATCTTATTATTTAGTATTTATTTAACAGTAGACTCAGGGGCACCAATCAGGACCTGACCTCATTGTGCCAGCTGTTATCTGTGTATATACATATGAAGACTGACGCAGTCCCTACATTTTAATACGTTTATAATCTAAGAAGCCAAGTGGTGCATAAAGATTTATAGAGAGATGTATACAATTTTGATATACATTTACAGGATTTTTGTTATTATAAAAATGCGAAGTAAGAGTAAGCTATCTGCATATACCTCTTAATCTAGCCATCAGTAATTGGTTGAGATCTAGAGGACGGGCTGATATGGAATATTCTGAAAATCACCATTTCTCATCAAGAAACTTCACCTGGATTAGTCAAGGTGGATATGTAACATTGCTATAGAATGAGGACTCTGTTCTTCTTTTTTTTTTTTTTT